CTGCGGATTTGGGCTGTAGCAAGCGCAGCAGAGCCCCATAATCAGATTTGAAAAAAAAAAACAGCGGATGACTGTTTCCTGACTGGTCGGGCCTACCAGTCGGCTGCAATACAGTTGGCGGTCGGCTGGGGTGCAACCCTGGCGACAGCCTTGAACTGACCAACCCCGTGTAATTCAGAAGTATTTATTCTGTTCATGTGGCTGAATCGCGGTTCGAACTTGGATCTGTATTTCAGCAGTACATGGGTGTACCAGCTGAGGTAGGCCGGCTGCTAGTTTTCAACATCTTTTTTGACCTTTTGTATGCTTTCAATGGTGCGTTTAACGTTTTTTTGAGTCTTTTTTGATTGTTGCAAGGGTGCCACTTTTAATCGAAAAGATTCTCCCTGCTCGCCTTTATTGCTTCAAACTTCATGCATTTATCGCACTCAAGATCCTCATGTGAGGAACAAGCCCTCAAGGGGCCCTATCAGACATCACATGTTCTTGGCTAAGGCCCGCAGCAAGCCGAGTGCCCACCCTAAGTGAAGGCGGGCCTGAATATTCGTCAGAGGCCAAAATTCGACATTTCCATATGTGGGCATTCAGGCTCTTGCAGCACGCCAGTTGGTTGGGTAGACGCGTGAGCCTCACTAAGCTGCGTCATACAGTTGGCCCAGGCCTTGACAGTTGCGCCTGGGCACATACACACAAAGCAGGGCCGATACATTGGAAAAGCAGTACTGCCGACGCACCTGCCTGGGAGCCCTGCACAGATGCAGCAAACAGCCCAAGTCCGGAGACTCAGGCCGTGCCCAACTGAAAAGGGCCCAGGCCCTTAACTGTACTCTCGGGCCTGGGCGCAGTGTCTGAGGCCCAACCGGAAGCTACTCGAAGCTTCCAGCCAGGGCACACGCAGCATCCAGGAGGCTGCCACTTCCATAAAAGAAGCGAGGCAGCCCAGGCCAGGCATTCTGGCCAGTGCAGGCAATGCGGAAGTGCTGCTGCGCTATCGCTTGATGCTGCACTGCTGCCAAGGGTGCTGACGGGGCGTGTAGTGGTGAAGTGGGGCGCTGCAGGGCAGCGCGACGCAGGCAGCCATAGCTGGGCTGCTGGGCGCCAGGGGGTAATGCGGGCGATCGGGTGGTCTTCAGGAAAGGAGGCCAGTGTGGGGTAATCAAGGTCTGATTGAGGGTGACGAGATACGTACCTGGTGCATGAGGAGAGGTCGGCTATGGTGTTGACAGTCATGTACATTGGTCTTCGAGAGTCGAAGTGAGCTTGTTGCGTGAACGAGCTGTAGGTAGGGTAGTTGGGTAGAGTAGGCTGGGCGCTGGGCGCCAGACAGAGAGGAGCGACTTTGGATACTGTGTTGGTGTGGCCTACGGGCTTGAACATTGGCTCATTACTTCATTGCATTGCTCTATAATGAGTCTATATGGATGGTTTCTCGGTGCATTTTGTACTCTCTGCTTGATTACGACTACCTGGACATCTGTGTGATTTTGCAACTTGGTTTTCTGTATATCGTTCACACGCATATTCCTTGCACTCAGCACACCAGGAAGTTTCACAAGGTAAGAGCACACTTGGAACTTTTACAACTCGAAATGAGGTTCCCAAGCTTGTGGCTATGCCTGCCACCACCAAGCAGGTAAGTCTCTCTCTCTCTCTCTCTCTCTCTCTCTCTCTCTCTCTCTCTCTCTCTCTCTCTCTCTCTCTCTCTCTCTCTCTCTCTCTCTCTCTCTCTCTCTCTCTCTCTCTCTCTCTCTCTCTCTCTCTCTCTCTCTCTCTCTCTCTCTCTCTCTCTCCGCAATCACTCTCTGGATGTCTTCACCGCTCTCTCCCTTGCTGCAATGCTACACTACAGCTATGGTCCCTTGTCTTCTCCCTCACCAGACACTGTTCACCATTCAGGATCTTGGGATTCTTGGCGCACAATGCTGCTGCAGCTCTTCTGCACTGGACGGAACTGAAGAAGAGGTTCCTGGCGCTGGCCACCTTCTTGTGCAAGTGCCTGTGCCTCCTACGTGATTGAGGACTCTTCCTGCCAGGCTTTGCCGCTGCAGACAGAAGTTCGGTCTGTTGTGGGTCTTCCCCGGGACTGAACTGCATCTTGACCGGGACTGGACAAGTGGTGACTCCCTCCCTACTGACCTCTAGGGAATTCTATTGTTGTTACCTACTGAGACCACACTAGGGCTGTACTGCGGCAGCTCGCGGATCCTTAGGTTCTCAGTCACCTGGAGTTAACCTCCTAGGTTCAGGTGAAATGCAGCTTGACCTCTGAACAGGTGGGTGATGCATTTTAGCTCCAAGTTGCAGAATGTGTTCTGATTGTCCAATTACTGATTGATTGCATGTTGTCGAACCATATTTTGTTGTATTATTATTCAATTGCAAGGAGTATGAGCGAGAGCAATAGACAGAAATCCAAATTCCAGAAGCACGAAGTAGTCCGGATAGTCATGTACCAAGCAGAGAGCACAATGCACCATGATACCATCCAAACAAGAGCAGTACAATGCACTCAATTGTCAATGCTGACGCTCTCTGGCGACACCAACATAGTATCCAATATCGCTCCTACTGTTTCGTGCCCAGTGCCCAGCCTACACTACTCAGCCTATCTAGCCTATCTACGTTCATGCAACGGGATCACATCGAAGTTGAAGGCCAATGTACGTGATGCCATCACCAATGCAGACCACCAGCATACGGCAGGTACGTTTCTCTCTTCTTCCCTCATCACACCCTGTCTCCCCTCTGCATGCGCCTCCTACCCGAAGACTACCATCGCCATCAGCACACCTGCGCCCCAGCAGCCCGGCTATGGCCGCCGTGCGCCCACTGCCTCAGCAGTGCCCCTCTCATGTCAGCGCCCGTGCGCGTCTGGCCCACAGCTTAGCGCAGCTGCTCATGCGCTAAGGCAGCAGTGTGGCCACATGGCCCAGTCAGGCCAGAATGCGTGCCGCTGGCTGTTCAGGTTGGCCCAAAGTGTCTGTGCCCGCCCCAGTTTGAGATATTGGCCTGGGCCTCGTGCAGTTAGGCACGTCCAGGCAGCCCTCCAGGTTCCAAGTGTTTGCCGCGTTCTCATTGGCTCGTGGTACATGTGTGACGACAATGCTGCATTCTCATTGGTCCGCGGCCTCTGCGTGGTGTTGGCCGCCCACTGCATGTGCCCTGGGCGCAACCACCTGACAACAATGCTGCATTCTCATTGGTCCGCGGCTTCTGCGTGATGTGTTGGCCTTCCATTGCGTGTGGCCAGGGCGCAACCGGCTGAGCCCTGGGCTCAACTGTCAAACGTAGCAGCTGCTTCTGGAAGAAGCCAGCGAGAGGCTCACGTTGCTTTGTAACCAAATTGCGTGCTGCAACTGTCTGATACCCCACACACGAGAAATGGCAAAGTAGGCCTCACATGGTCATACAGACCCGCATTCACTTAGGGCGGGCACGAGGCTTGCTGGGGGCCTGACCCCTGAACATCTGTGCGCACCCGAAAAGGCCTTACGAGGGCTCAATCCTCGCACAATTAAGATTTATTCAATTAAGATTATTCAGCTAATGCAAGATGCTCATGTGTTTTATCGTTTTGCGTTGTTACAGCAGGAGGGTTGTTTGAGCAATGGAGATGTGAGCAGCGGGGATGAGATAGAATCACGCTCAAGTAGCCAGAAAAAGAAGAAGATCGGGAATGGTGGGAATGCGGGTGCACCTGCTGGAGTTCTTGTGCCTGGGAAAAAAGGAGGAAGCACACCTTCGAAGCGGGGGGCTCTTTCCGAGAGTTTCAAACTTAAGGAGAAGGACAAGGGATTGAAGGTGGTTATGCAGAAGGAGAAAGAGAAGGAGAAGGAGGAGAAGAAGGACGAGAAGGAGGAGAAGAAGGATGAGAAGAAGGATGAGAAGAAGGAGAAGGAGAAGGAGGTCGTGAAAGAGATCAAGCCTGGGGCAACACCAAGTCTTGGACTGCCAATGGGACTAACAGGAACACCGGGTAAGGACAGAGTACCAGTATTGCTTCGAAGGAGGGAAGTTGTCTCTTAGTGAAGCAGCAGTTGATGAAATGATATTGTACGTCTTAATTTTAATCTCCTGTCTCTGTCTTACTTCAAGTCTGGAGAAGGTTCCACATGCTGGACCTGCTCTGGGACTAAGTCTGGAGTTGGTATGGACATGTGGATCTGTACACACAACAGTGTGGACAATGTTCTCTTGCCTCTTGGTCCTTGCGATCCGTTTCCTTTTTTTTTTTTCCCAACTTTCGACTGGGTTTTTGCAATCGTATTTCTTTTTCGTTTTTTTGGGATTCTCTCTCAATTGGTGAAATTCTCAGAGCATACTCACACTGGCACCTGTAATCCCAAACTCCCCCAGAAAAAGGGTAGAGGGCGGATCACACAGATTGCCAAAGTACCAAATGTACTATTTTTGTGCTCATTTGTCAGCGGCCTGGGAAGCTGTGGGGCAAGGGGATTTGTGGTCACCTCTGGAGGTGACCTCAAATGCCCTATTTTTATTTTTTCACATTTTCTTTGAAAATTGGTGAAAATTCGTCAACAAAAGTTGTTGGGAGATTGTCAATTGCACGAGCAAGGTTTGTGGAATCTGTGGTTTTGGGACTCCACGTGGCCTGGTTACACACCCTTGTACGTTGAGGCGTGAGGCGTGCAGCGATGCAGGATGCAGGAGGGAAAGAAAAACTTTAAAAAAAAAATCTGCACAATTTGTGGATGGCGCCATGCAACCAGCAAAGTGCCAAATCACCATTTCTCCAGATGGCCGCGACCTTGTCTCATCCAAAAGGCTACAGCAGTGCGACCCCAACCATGCCCAAAACCTCAAATCAGCCTTCCCAAATCCGTATATTTTTCGGATTTCGGGTCACAGTGTGAGTATGCCCTCAGACATGTGAGTTGGTGATAATCCAGTGAAACAGTCTGTCACATTCCCCCCGTTTTTTTCGTCCTTTTCTCCCTTTTCACTTACAGTTCGTCAGGACCACCTAGTGAACTACCCCTACACCCGGTTTCAGAATTCCCACCCATTGTCAGGGCTGAATCCCTGGACGTTTTTTTTCCTGACATGTACTCAGAATCAGCGCATTTTACATTGCTGTCCTTGGGACATTTTTTGGCCATAGTCTGCTCTGTGGTGTACGCCGCAGTCTTATACAGAGACATGTGACATCTTGTGCCTTGCTCTGGTCCAAACAACTATGTGCAAGTTCCGCATTTAGTTTGCTGCTGGTACACTTTCTCTTGTGCTTTTTGTTGGAAGAGTTTGACTGAGAGTGCTGCCATCAGCAGTGCATGTTACATGTCAACAGAAGAACAGGGCGAGTTTTATCACAAGAGATTTCCCGGTAAATAGTGGATAGAGAGTGGAAATGGCCGGAATGTGGGGGTGCTTGTGACTGACTCTTCTGCAACTCGCTGATCTACTTGGCAAGACGCTCAAACCTTGACAATCTTGCAGAGCCCCCTGCAGACACTTTAAGCCATAATTATCATCTGCATTGAACCAAAATCAAAGCAGACAAGAACAGGTCTCACACAATCAGTAATGCACTCTGGAAACAATGTTCATGTAGGCACATGGGATGAGGGAGGGGGAGTCAGGGGGTGCATATGAACAGTCTCAAGCTGAGTTCAGACCCTGCGTATGCGCGGCAGGACCATGTGTTTCTGGTTGGACATCTTGAGAGTTAGCTGATGGTGAAAGTGTGAAGCAGTCTGGCCTTTGTCAGAATCGCATGCCTTTCAGGTAAATCAAGGTAGTGAGCCTTGAAAGCACGCTGCATAGAAAGTGGTGCATTCTCAGCTTCCTCGAACTCCGGAGGTTCACTGTCAGAATAAAAAGCCTGGCACCGGAGTTCCACTGTTCCAGTGAGTTTGCGGTGTGGTAGTTTGGAATCATCATCGACAGTCAGAGTTGTCTAAAGGTTGCGCGCATGGATTCTTTCTCCCTGCTGTTCATACCAAAGTAGTAATTTGGATAGTATGTGGGACCTTTCCCAGCCTGGCAAATCCGTAATGGCCTCATGAATTAGAGTCCCTGTTGGTCCTTGCCCATCAATCTACAATATTAACTTTTGCCAATTTTCAGTGTCCTAAGGTGCCCTGAATAACACTAGTGTGGCCAGCTGTGCGTTGTGTGATCATTTGATGGCAAGGGGTCTGCCACGGCGGTCAGCTGTCAATATGAACGCGTTCAGTCATGTGAGCTGTCTTTGTGCTCAGTGTGGGAAGATATTGAAATGTAAAAACGTGGAAGAAATAGAAAGAAAAGTTATGTTCTTGTGTTCGTTTATGTGGCTGGGAAGAAAGAAATGTGCTGTGATTGGAATGTCTTTTTGTCTGTGTGCTGCTCGCGAGCCCCGGTGGAAAGCGCAGGGAAAGAAAACAGAGAAAACCCAGGCAGGGTGGTATGTTCTGCTTTTCCCCCGTTTTGTTCCCGAGCACAATGGGTGTCGGGGCTGACAAGAGCAGTGGCAGTCATCAGGACACATAAAGAGGCCACCACCGTTGTTTGTTTATCTTCTGTTTGGGAGAAGGGCAGGGGTGGTGGCAGTTGAGGACATACAAAAGGGTATTTTGGACGAATATTTGCCCTTATCACGATGAGATACACTATGCGACATCTTAGTGTGATTTTGCCATCTCTCTCTCTCTCTCTCTCTCTCTCCCCCTCTCTCCCTCTCTCCCTCTCTCTCTCTCTCTCCCTCCCTCTCTCCCTCCCTCTCTCACTCTCTC